TTTTTTTCTTTATTATTTACTAATTCGACGCACAATGATTCATAATCTGTTTCATTGACGCAGAGATCGTTACGTAAAATATAATTAACTGAATTATGGATAAAAATACTAACGCCCCCACCCGCATTAACTTCACGCGGTTGGTGAATTGATGTGTAATTAACTAGTTCAAATTCATAACTTGTTTCACCGCATTTACACCAAGTTTCCGTCAAACATATAATTTTAAAATCGTGTTTAATTTCATCCAACAAAATTTTTAAATTTTCAAAGTTTTTAAACTTCGAATATTGATATTTAAAATTGAAAAAGTGTTTTTAGTTTGTCCTAGATATTGCGAAGATTCAGAAATTGAGTAGTATTGACTTTCTAGCATTTTGTGATAAAATAATTAGAGTCGGTGTCATTATCACCGATGATGTCATTTTCATTAGAAGATTTAAATATGACATTTTCCTCCATTTTTAAAACAGTTTAATTAAATATGCATTGTAATAATAAAAATAAAATTGCGTTAATTAATGCCAAATATTATGAAGATAAATTTTTGCTTTTCTTTGCAACCCAATCGCGAATTATCAATTTATCATAAGATATGAAGGCAAACTTACCAGCGGCTCGTTCAATTTTCATTTTCTCCCTCAAATTTTTTCTGATTTGTGTTGTTTCAAAACAGAAGTCTTCGTTTATATAAATGTTTTTCCCTTTTAGCTTACTCGACTTGCTCAAGATCGCGACTTTATCTCTAAAATCTAAAAGTTTTATCACTATTGTCCTCGGCATTTTTTATTTTTTGTTTCCAGTTCTATGGGCCCGTTCAATTTGGACATTTTTAACTGATAATATATCTTCAAAACTTTTTTTTACCTTCATTTCGCTTTCTTCCCAGCTTTCACCTTCATTTTCATCAATTCCATCTACTCTTAAATTGTTACGTCTAGATCGATCTTCCAATTCCCTTAACTTTTTTTGTATACTTTCTGAATTGTCTTCTTTACTGCAAACCTTTGCTTTCTTAACTTTTTCATCAATTAGTTGTTCATGAAAGTTTAAACTAAGTTTCAATTCTTCGATGTCTTTTTCTACTTTTTCCAACCTGCCATTAAATATTTTCAAGTTTCCACTAATAATATCAATAAAAACTTTTTCTTGTTGTTTTAGCATCAACTCAAATTCTTTTTTTGTAGTCCTCAAACAATTTTGTTATTTCTAATAATGTAACAGCCATATTATAAAAAAAAAAGATTTGTATTTTAGAAAAATAAATGTAAAGTAATTTCGCTTTAATAAAGTCGTTTAAAAAATAAAATAAATGAATATTGCGATGTTTAACTAATACATTAATAGGTCTTCTGTGATTGGCTTCAAGAATAAATTATATATAGCTAGCTATAGTTTCCAACTGGTCTGAACAGCTCTGAAAGGTTTTAACAGGTTATCATTTAACTGTATTATACAAAAAACAACTTGGCAAAGTTATACGTCCTGCTAGTATTTTTTGTGTTTTTTTAAACGGAAATGGAAGTTAGCTATATGAATGAGATTTCAATGTGTAATTAGCTGGTGCAGATCAAGACATATTGTAGAAGCGACTCAACAAAAAATTTAATCTGCTAGATACATTGTGTTTAAATAATTCAAATTTTATTTTGTTTAGCAAAGTTATACGTATGGTGAAGTATAATAATAGTATAATACGTAATATATAATAGCCCTAGATTTAAGCTAGTTATTATATATTCATATAAAAAATATTTTACTTTTCTTAAGTGTCTAAAACTTAATATAAATGTATAATAGTATATAGAATGTCACTATTCATCTATATGTATATATATATATATATATATATATATATATATATATATATATATATATATATATATATATATATATATATATATATATATATATATATATATATATATATATATATATATATATATATATATATATGTATATACTGTCAGTATAAATTATATAAAGAATATAGTCGACTAACTATTGAAAGTTGTTATGAAAATCACTTTGATTGTAAAGACGCCGCCATATTTGTTATGATTTAGATTACGTTCGGTAAAATGTACGTACATATTGCTCAATGAGCAAAAGCGTTGTTTTTTGTTAGCATATAAAAAAACTTATCAATTTTTAGGCGCCCCTAAACTTTGGCGCCCTAGGCGATTGCCTAGTTTGCCTATAGGGTGCACCGGCCCTGAGTGTGACACAAATGTAATTTTTAAAAAAATCGCCTTAAAAAATTGCCACCGATATATAAGGAATGAGAATAAAAATGTCATCTTTTAAAAATATAAACATAGTTTATTTTTATAATGGAAATAAACCCTTTAAAAACACTTTTTTCAAATCTAATGTTTTTTTATTGGAATTAAATTAGTTACTATTATAGAATTGTGCATTATATTAAATGTATTATTATTTATAAAAAAAAAGTTGTTTATTATTATTATGTAAACGAAATAAGTTGTCCGGAGCCACCCATTAATCATGTGTCCGATACCACCCGATCATACCTCATTCACAAATACTACTTTTAAAACCAGTGAATTAAAGTTTTAAGGTGGCAGACCACTATTAAAAATCAAAAAAATCATTTTTTTAATTATAATTTTTTTAAATAATATAGCTATCGTAAATTACGAATTTCAAGTTAGTTTTATGAAAAAAAATAGTTAACACCATTAAAAACTATTTTTTAATAAAGCGGTATAAGTAAATTTTTTTTATTTTTCCATAGCAACGCTTTGTTTATTCCGTTGTTATACAACTAAAAAGGCAATTGTATCATAATTATAGTATAAATTTTAGAACAAAAAATTAAAAAAAAAAATGAGCCTCCTCGATTGCAGTGGCCCCCTTACCTTGGGGAGGTGAATAATTAAAAAAAAAAAATAAAAAAAAAATAAAAATTTGGCTACATGAGTTTTATTGAAATTTCCAACTATAGTTGTTGTTTTCTGTATCACTCTACATTTATCCTATCACTTCGATCAAATAATATTATTAATGGAAAGTAATGGAAAAAAAAAAGAAAAAAGAAATAAAACAAGGCATATTAAAATACTTATTTAAACTTTTTAAAGAAAACCAAAATCAATCAACAAACAATGCAGCTGAAGAAATTGTATCTAATTTGCACGAACTAAAATTTGAATGTAGCATAGCAAAAAAAAAATTTAAATGGACATGTGTACATCCAGATCCAGCAGTAAATAATCTGTAAAACTTATAAAACTGTCTCCTAATTTTATTCAGAAGTTTTATTCTACCAAAATTATAAACAAACCAGCAGAAATGAATTTTTAATGTTTACTTATGTACAATATTAGTTTTTTGCGAAATGGGTAAAGAATACTGTAGTATCGAAAAGCTTTGTGGTTTTATGAACATCTTTGATCCCATAAAGAAATTTTTTAATTAGTTAAACAAATAAATTATAACAGATACATAGTTAAAGCTAGCATGAATGCCGCAGCGAAGAAGCTCTGAAAATAAGTTTATATTCTAAAAATAAAACTATAATAAGAACACAGTAGTTAGGATTTTTTAGTTGAGGGTATTTCTTATTGTGCATCATAGTTTTAGTTTATATATATATACTTTGATTTTTTTTTATATATTAAGTTTATATATACACTTGATATTTATTTACTGTAATAACTATTGGCATAAAACTAAAAGGAGTTTTTATTTGAAACTAAATTAAAAATCAAAAGTGAGACTTTTTTTTAATGAAATCTAACTTTGAAAGTAATAATGTCTGTTAATAAAACCTGTCTTTTAAAACAATTTTTTTATAATTTTTTCAACTTTTACTCCACAACACTTTTAATATAAGTTGATATTTGTCAATAGACTTTTTAAGTGGCTTTTCAATATTTGTTTGAAGAATTTTATGCTTTTTTTTGTTTAAATGTGTTTTTCTCAGATCTCTAAAATTCACGACTTTGCGATGAATATCTCAAGATTTTCTTAATCAATTTCCATTAAATTTTCAGAACCTTAAGCTATACTAATTTATTTGCTCGTTGAAAAATAAAGTTACAGTTGATATTGTTGAGTCGTAATTGAAAAACTTAACGGCTGAACATCCTTTTTCAGATAGTATCAAGAACTTTTTGCAACAGTCATGAATCTAAACAAAATAGTGCAGAGAAAAAAAAAAAAAATCAATAAATCAAAAATCTTAAAAAGTTAAAAAAAATATAATTCTTGAAAAGAATTTTCAAGTTTCAAAATTTAAAATGAGTGCTGGAACTCAAAATAAAAAATAAATTTTTTTAAGGAAATTCTTAAAGAAAAAGTTTCAAGATAACCATGTTTCAATAAAAATCTTTAAGAAAAAGAAATTCCAAGATGATTGTATTACGTTTACCCCAGGGCCGGATTTACATTCTCGGAGGTCTTGCTGAATCAATTTTTGGGGCCCTCAAAAATATTTTGAACAAAAAACCATTATATCGTATCATATAGTATAAATATTATTATACTTTTTTTTGTTTGCTTTTGTGTCTTCAATTCTTTAGCGTTATGGTTTTTATAAAGATTTCTTTAAAAATCCTTCTTGCAAAACTAATCATTTAGTGTTGCAATTGTTAATGATTGTGCAAATAGAACTTTACATTATGTTATAATTGTCCAGAGGGTTAAAGATTGTTTAGCAAACATTACAATGAAAAAAGCAATACTTTTTTAACTCTCTTAAGACTCTAGAAAGCATTTTTTGAACCTATTTCATGGCCCCTAAAAATGTGGGGCCTTAGGCTGCAGCCTAGTTAGCCTATAGATGAACCAAACCCTATTTTATCTTTAATCTAACTTTTGTAATCTTTACTTAATTAAACCTAAAATAGCGAGCATAATAGTAATCTTTACTTTTGTAATCTTTACTTAATTTATCCTTAAAATAGCGAGCATAATACTAATGTATTAATAATCGTATCGTCTTTGTTTTTCTTTCGTACTTCTAAAATCCGATACGTGAAAAACCAAAGTCGATTATTTAAATGTTGAATTTGAGGGATTTTAAAGTAATTTTAATAGCTTATAAACATTTATAAAATTATGGTGCAGCTAATTTTTGAAGATTCCTTAAATCTTTTTATTAATGATCTTATAAAAACAAAAACTCTTCAAGTTGGTTTGATTATTGGACAATTTACTGCAAATTCTAAAGATTTTGCTATTCATTTTGCAAAATGTCCAAATCCAGTCGACGATGAAGTCGAGGAGGAGCTTGTAAATTCTGACTCTGAAAATACCAAAATCAATGAAAAAATAAAGCAAAAAAATGAAGCTTTTAAATTAAATAGCAATGAGAATATTGATGTGAAATGGATTGTTGAACATGCACGTCAAGTAACTCGGATGTTGACAGGGGGTTTAATGATAATTGGAGTATATTATTCATGTTCTCCAGAAATTTATTTAAAAAATCAAGCATTGCTTCGACAATGTTTGTATTCAGTTCGTAAAAAAAGCGAAAACAGTAAGTGGATAAGAAATAGCATTCCTCATAATGAGAGATATTTTTTCCATATGTGCACTCTAACTGGAAAGTTATCATGTCGCACAATAGATATAAATGATGTTCAAGGTTCTTTTAAACAAGCAACATTTCGTTTTCAGTCATTTTTATCAAGTTGGCATTCTTTTAGTTGTTTTGTTGATGTCAATATAAGTTCATATGTACCTGTAAAAGAGAGTCTGAAAACTGAGCAGAAAATGACTTATGCTTGCCATGATGAAATTGAAAGTATTTGGAATTCTTACGCATCAATTAATTTCAAAATTGTAAAAGATGACCAATTAATTTCAGAGAACACAAAAAACAAAAATACAAATAAAACTAAGACAACTAAAAAAGATATTGAAATAATGCTTTTTAAAAAAAATGTTTCAAATAATGTTCTATTTTCTCCAGATCAAATTAACACAGAAATAAAATTTGTTGGTTCAATTTTTGCAAAAGCATTTATTCATCAAAAAGGAACTTATGGTGAAGCAGTCAAAGCTTTAAAAGTTGATATAATTCGAAGTCTTCAGTCTCGCATTGAGTTACTTTGTGAAGAAGCACAGATTAATAATTTATGTCAAGTAAATGAATGGAGTTTAATGTCACCAATAAGGGTTTTTGTAAAAGCTTATGAAGTATATTATTGTGATTATGCTTTTAAAGATGAAACTCAAAAAGAAACTATAAGTCGATTTTTAGATTTATTAGGAATAAATCCATCACAAAATGATTTAATATATATGGAGAAGTCTCCAGATATTTCAGATGTTTCAATGATTCTTCGCGGTGAAAGACCAGTTGATATTCATTCAGAAATGGGATCTGAAAGAAGTAGTATATGTCTAGAAGAGCCAAGCAATTTTAAGTTCCTTGCATCATGCATTATTGCATTAGTAGCTGTAGTGTTTTCTTTTATAGTTATCTTGTTAAAGCAATAATGGAACAAACAAAACAATATCAATTCTAAACACATGTTTGTGTTATTATATTTAAGTTATTATAATTTTTTCAAACAATAAGTAATTGTTGATTAGATTTGAAATAAATAAATAAAATTTTTAAATGTTTTGTTCATTAATGATTTAATATCATCATCATCATCATCATCATCATCATCATCATCATCATCATCATCATCATCATCATCATCATCATCATCATCATCATCACCATCATTATCATCATTTATATTTTGCATAGATTATGTGTTAATCCGATATATTTCAATTGAGAATTTTCTTTTCTTAACTAAAACATTTTTATATTATCTGTAATGCATTCTTTTCCTACATTTTAAAGTCACATTTGCATTTATTTTGAAGTCACATTTGCATTCATCTGAGCATCGTCATTTCTGTTCTTTCAAAATCCTGAGCATCAGTATAGACTTCATAGTAAACAAACTTAACTATTACAACCATATATTTTACTACAGTTATTCTTTTATTAATTTGGTTTGAAAATTGTGTAAAGAAATTCAATTAAATATTGTTTATTTTTTAATATATATTAGAAGTGATATGACTTTTTTTCTTTATTTAAATATCTTGTTATCAAGTTGATGTTTAGTTATAATATTTATTATTTTAATTTATATAATTTGATTATAAGCAGAAGCTATTCTACAAATAAATAGAGTTGGGGGGGGGGGGAAGGAACGTAAATCTTTAAAAAATACTAACTGCTTCCTATAAAAATAAAAAAGAAGTTTTTAAAACTAAAATTCATCCAACTGAAATTAGTCACAGTAGATGTACTATATTCCTTATAATTATTATTATTATCATTATATATATATATATATATATATATATATATATATATATATATATATATATATATATATATATATATATATATATATGTATATATATATATATATATATATATATATATATATATATAATATATATATATATATATATATATATATATATATATATATATATATAATGATAATAATGTCATAATATTAAATAATGTCATTAATAATAAATTTACTATAGTTTAAGTTATTAGTTTTTAATTTTAATTGTTGACATTAAAATGGTGACATCAAATTCAAAATTAAGAAAAATCTTGTTTGTCAAAAATGTCTGAAAAATATAAATCTAGACTTTTATTAATTATAGTCTTGTTTGCAGGTTTAATAGATGTTATTAAAAAAATTATTATTGTATTTTTTATTGTTTTGCTTGTAGGGTTAACATATTTTATAACTGTTTTGATTGGTTAAATTATTAGTAAATAATAAGATGTAAAATGAGTTTAAAGCTATTTTGTGTCATTCTATGTTTTGGTATCACAGAAACAATAAATTTCAGGTATGAAATATTTTTCATTGTTATGTTTTGCACAAAAAGCTTTTATATATATATATATATATATATATATATATATATATATATATATATATATATATATATATATATATATATATATATATATAAAGAGAGAGAGAGAGAGAGATCTATAAATTGTTGGCTTTGAGAGTACGGAAAGTAAAAAAAAATAATTATTTTGACAACAAATACGCCACTTTTAATTACTTTTGACTTTCATCCAACAGTCTATCAAGTAATGAAAAAAAATAGTTCCGGTCTTGATTTTAATTTTTTTTTTATGTCAACAAAATATGGTAACACTTGTCGACAACCATGCAAGAGTCTATATATATATATATATATATATATGAATATATATATATATATATATATATATATATATATATATATATATATATATGTATATATATATATATATATATATGTATATATATATATATATATATATATATATATATATATATATATATATATATATATAAACGGTCCTAGTGACAAGTGACCTAGAATAACCGAAAATGGTCTTAGTGAAAAGTGACCTAGAATAGCCTAAAATGGTCTTAGTGACAAGTGACCTAGAATAGCCCCTGATATGTATTTATATACAAGGGCTATTTTAGGTCACTTGTCCTGTAAAAAATGACATCTATCGGTCATTTTATCTAACATAGATTTTATGTGCATTTATTTCCTAACCATTTTAGTTGTTCCAAAAGTTACTAATAATTCAGTATTGTATAAAAATTTTATTATTTGCGTTTTTTATTTTTTATACAAAACAAAATTGAAGTTGAACACGCGGCTAGGTTGATAAAATACGTCATTTTTTTGACTTAATTCATTTTTTAAAAGACTTCAAAGCATTACATCTTTTTAAATTAAGTAGCCTGGTTTCTATCATTTATAATAAAGCATTGTAATTAATTATTTATTTAACTTTGTTGTTTAGTATTTATTTTTTGTATGATGGATTTTATAAATTTCAAACAAATATTTTAGCTTTTAAAACCACTATTTCAATAGTTTAATAGTTATGCTTATAGAAACACACACACACATACACACACACACACACACACACACACACACACACACACACACACACACACAGATATATATATATATATACATATATATATATATATATATACATATATATATATATATATATATATATATATATATATATATATATATATATATATATATATATATATATATATATATATACATATATATATATATATATATATATATATATATATATATATATATATATATATATATATATATATATATATATATATATATATATATATATATATATATATATATATATTACACTATTGAGTTGTTACATAACATTTTTTTTCATGCTAAAAATGATCGCTTTTGTTTATAAAATTAATCCTGAAAAAAAACATTTATTTATATAAATGTAATTACATATAATATTCTTTGATAATTTTGATAAAATGGGTTTATTTTAAACATTATAATTAATTTAATATTTTATCTAGTAAAGTATTATAGTTTATGTATTTTATATATTTACATATTAATTAATTTAATAATTTTGTATTTTTAATATACATTTTTATTACATATTTAATTATGTATTTAATAATTACATAGTTTATGTATTTTATATATTTACGTAATAAAGAATATTTGATAATTTACAAAGAATATTAAATGTTTAATAATTTACGTAATAGCAAGAATAGTTAATAATTTACGTAATAAATAATATTTAATAATTTACAAAGCATTTCGCATAGTATAGTATTTTTAACAAATGTAATATAAATATATTTTCTGTTTCAAATTTTAGTTTTTTGAGCTTTGTTTTTTTCTTCTTTTTTTTAAGATTTCTTTTTATTTTCAGCGCATTTTAGTTGTCAAAACATGCGTAAAAACAAAATATTCTATGTGTGTTCAGGAATGGCGTTCGATTGCACTTCTTTAACATTTATCAGACATGTCTGTCAAACTTGAGTTTTTATCAGACAAACTGCCAGATAGAAAAAAGTTTGTTATTTCGAGCCCTGTATATATATATATATATATATATATATATATATATATATATATATATATATATATATATATATATATATATATATATATATATATATATATTATATCAGGCCTTGCGATGAATAAGAACTGCGCGACGCATAAGCACGACGTGATTTTTGACGTCATTAAATTCTTTTTATTTGCTTTTCATATTTACAGACATTAACTGCACCAATTTACTTAATTACCGCAAAACTACTTTAAATCGTTTATGTAGAAATGTTATTATTTAAAAATGTTTTGGAATGTTTCGTTTTTTAAAATGTAAAAACATTTGTTTATTTTCTCGATGTTTGTCACGTTTTGTCTATACTAAACGAATAAAAAACATAACTTAAATTTAAAAAAGCTTATAAAATATGCTAATATTTGATTTTTTTTTTTCTTAAATATGTTATTTAAAGTTTTTTAAATAATTATTTTTTCTTTTTAAAAAGTCAGCGAGTAATAAACTGGAAATTTTAATATTGTACAATTAAAAACTGTGCAATAGCTAATATTTTTACAAGCGATTTTATATAATATTTATTTATTTTTATTTATTTTCAAAAAGCGGTTGATAAGCACAATCACTCGTATTAATAAAAAACTTAATTGAACGTTTTGAATAATTTTTAATGTTAACAAGGAATTTTATTTCTAGTAAAATAAAATGTTAGAATAAAAATCTTATAGGTATAAAAGAAATATTTCAGCGAAAAAATTATTCTTAAAAATTATTCGAAAAACTATTGATGTTCTATTTTTCAGCACCTGTTCTTGAGCACGCTTCGTTGAGTTTCGGTAACTTTTAACATAAAAGCGATCGTTATTATTTAAGTAATTTTTTTGAGTTACTTTTTACAAAAATTTTAATAACTGTACTTTTTTATTGAATCAAGTAGAATACGTTTAAATATTAATCCTTTTTTATTTTTTTATTTGCCCTCACCAATTTTTAAAATGTTTCCTCGAAATTACTCTTAAATACTTTTAATACGTCTAACAGTTAATAAATATTTTTAAATCTATGGAATAATTTTAAAACCTAACAAACCCCCGTAAAATAATTATTTAAGTTTAAAATCTAAAACTAAAAGAAAGTATTTTTATTCAGTTTTATCGACAACTTTGCTATTGCTGAATAATTTTAATTAAATTTTAGCTTAAAAGATTTAAACTTTTTTTTTAATTTTTGAATTTTTTCTACTTGTAAATAATGAGCATATTTAATTTTTTTAAATTCAAACTTTTATTTCAACTGCGTGCGGTTTTTAAAATACTTTATTAAATGTTAAAATAATCGTAAATTACTTCATTAAAATTCCGCTCAAAAATATCTTTAAATATACTCAAACAAAAAATTTTACACTACACGCAAAATCGCTCTTGGACGACGTAAAATTCACATCGCCCGACGCTTTATCGCAAGGCCTGATATATATATATATATATATATATATATATATATATATATATATATATATATATATATATACACACACACACACACACACACACACACACTAGGTGGTGAAATTCCTTATGTTAAAAAAAATTAAAATGACCAACTACTAACTCGTATTGACTTGAAAGAACTGTTTAATTAAAAGTAAATTATTTATAAAAAAATAGTGAAATTTAGGATAGAAGCAAATAAAAAATGTCATAACTGAAAAGAAACATTATATGAAGAATAATTTTCTATTAATATCTAAAGCATGTTTTTACAGTAATTTACTTTAAGACTTTTTTTTAGAAAAATACTTTTTTTTAGAATGACAGATCTTTTTTAGATAAATATTTCAATTTGCATTAAACATAATGTTATTTATTACATTAATTTGGTTAAAAAAGTTTCAACAAAAATTTATTTTATTTATGAAATATAGGGATCAATGTTATTAATGATTCACGTACCGATTTATATGATTCAAAATATGACTAATATAATTTCAAAAAAATGATGCATTAGCATTTTGAATTTAAAAAAAATGTTATTTTTAAATTTTTGACTATTTCGAAATACTAAAAACTATAAAACACAAAAAACCATTGTCAGGCCTTCTTGTAAGAGGCTTTCGATCGGACGCTTTATATGATTACGCATATAGTTCTTTGTTTGAACAACTTGACCATGGCTATTTGCAAGTTTTGACAATTAGCGCGTTTAAAAAATGCGCTAAAAAAAAATAAAGCAAATATAAACGCGGTTTTTAATTGAATTGATTCCATAATTACAATTAAACTTCTACAAAATTTCCTGAGTACTTTAATGCAACTTAATAAAAGCAATTATTGAAAAAAATATTCAGGTTAGAGTTTAAAGCAAAATGAGTACAGAAGCTATCAAAAAATAATTACAAGCCGTTTTATCATGGAAATATAATTTCTAATAAAAAAATTATTTACTAAATAAAAGATTTACAATAATCTTTAAACAGTTGCATTTGACAACTATTCTTTATCTCAGGGCGTGGCGTACCGTTTTTTTTAATGAAAGTTAATTTGCGTATTTTTATTTATTGACGAACGTCTAATTTAAGAAATTTATGTCAATTTCAAATAATTTTTATTCTAGTTACTAAGTTATCAAATATATCAAAGATTCTTGGTAAATTTATTCAATTGTTATTTTTCAAAAACTTTTTTTTTACACATTTGCAAAGCGCTCTCAAATTAATGATGAATGCACAATAAAAAAAATTTTTTAAAAGTGTTTTTAATATGCAAACAAAAATTATTTCACTTTATGGAAAATAAGAAAATTAAAAAAAAAAGCATGCACAATTTTATTTATAATGAAATCATTTGCTTTAAACTTTTAATGTAATTGCTAAAAACAGAAAAGAAACCAGGCTTAAACATTATGATCGCTTTCTTTGATAAAAGAAAACAATCGAATTGTTTAAGGACGG